GGAATTGAAAAGTTCCAGTAAAAGTGTTGAGAGCAGTAAACTAGCTTGTGAAGAACAGGACTGTGTGATACAAACAGAGGTTCCTGATATATATGAATTTCTTAAAGATGCTTCAGGTAAAGTGGATCATAGTACTGACGTGGCTGAAGAATGTTTCAAGTTGCATCAAGTATGGGAACCAAAAGGGCCTGAAAGCATTGAAGAATTGCCTCCAGTGGAAGAAATTCCACATTCTATTGAGCATCATCTTCCAAACACATATATAGACCTCACAAAAGATCCAGGCGCAGAGACCAAAAACTTGGGGGAATTCATAGACGTAACAGTTTTAAATATTGATCAATTAGGATGTTCTAAAGACAATTTGGACCAAAATGTCCCCATATTAGACAGTATGCAGCCTGATACTGTAGATGCTTTTATTGATTTGACACAAGATGTTTCAAGTGACAGTAAAAATGAAGATAACGATCCTGCTTTAGCTGTTGAAGACTTGGGGTGTCAGGTGATATGTATAGATGAAGAGAATGCTAAGGAAGAGAAGGTGGAAGTGGCAAACGGGCCTCTGGAATGCATCATGGAGGTAGCCAGTATCAACTTAACCTCGGAATCCCCTGATTTGGGTGAAGTGAAAAAGGATGATTCAAAATCAGAGGCAGTATCAAATTCTGATAGTTCAGAGTTGCCTGGGGCTTTGGATAATGCTCACAAAAAGAGAAAAAACCCTTCTGATCTAAATGATTCTTTTCACAAAAAACAGAGAAAGGAAACAGACTTACCCAGTAGGGAAAAGACCAAGAAAATTACCCAAGACTCTGGTGAGAATGGTGAAGGTCACCTAAAGAAAGCCAATAAGAAAAAGGCCCCTGCAGTTACTAAAGATCCGTCATCATTAAAGGCAAGCCCAGGCACTAAGGATACATCAGCACTTGCCACTTCTCTTACAAGCCTTTCTGCAAAGAATGTTATTAAAAAGAAGGGAAAAATTATAGTTTCGTGGACAAGGTAAGAATCTTATAAAACTATTAAGTCACCAGGAAATTTGAGATACCAGAAATCTGTCATGTCATCATAGTTTTATCCCATCCTAAAATAAGGAAAGTGATGACTTACTTCAAAAGAGGCCATAGTTGATAGAAGGTACATTCTAGGGTATAGCCCAACAGTCCAGTAGAACAGTCTAGAGCAGTGGCTCTTAACCAGGGATGTGTATTACACCATGGACAGAACTTTTCATTCTGCTTTAACTTTACTTTTTCCATGAAAAAGAAAAATTCTTTGATTTTTAAGGAATCTGCTATAAGCACATTTTAGAAAGGAGGAATGACACATGGTGAATAAGACAATAGTGTGAATGTTTGTAATTTGAGTTTTCCCCCTAAATTAGAAGTTTCAAAAAGTTTCATAAACAGGTTTTTTGACTTTTATGTGAACTTTTAAAGGAATGCCGATTTAAATACCTCATTTTGTGTATAAAGGTAACCACATTTGTGAACCATTGAACCAGAGGTACATGATCTCCAACCTTGACTAGGGTGCGTAATGAGGGAGGCTGAATTTTATTGAAATTGGTGATCAGTTTTGTTTAATACAGTCCTCTATGCCTTCATTTCAGGTAGCCTGCAGATCGTAAAGTCTCAGAGATTATAATAACATACACTGATTTAGATTATGTAGAAAAAGCAGGGGTCTGGAGATTAGAAGATCTGGATTCTATTTTACTTTTTGGTTCTTCTTGCTTGTTAAGTCTGTGATCATGTTTTAGCCCTAGTTTTTAAGTACTGTACACACTAATGGTAGAATTTTTTTAATCTTTTGGTTTTTAGTCATTAGAAAAATAAATTAGTATATTTGTTTTTAGAGAATTTGGGAAATGTGTATGAACTCAAAGATTAAAGTCAGCTATATTCTTTTATTTCTCAGAGATAACCATTGTCCATATTTTCATATATACACTTTTTCCTTTTTTAAATTGATTTTAATAAAAATGTCAACTCTTATTGGTAGACATTAAGGCAGTGGAATTTTTGTTACCTGTCTGTTCTAATCTACAAAAACTAAATAACGTATTTCCCCCTTCAGAAATGATGACCGGGAAATTTTATTGGAGTGTCAGAAAAGAGGGCCATCTTTGAAAACATTTTCTCATTTAGCTGCCAAGTTGAATAAAAATCCTTATCAGGTAACTACCCAATTTTTACATCTCTGTTTACATCTCTGTTACATACTTTTTAATGTGTTTAAAATATATAGATATTTATTCACCAGCTTCTTTGAAAGTATAGCTCTTCATGTAGGACTGTTAAAAACTTGCTGATTGTGGAAGAAGTTTGGAACAATCCTAATTCTTATTTTCTGTTGTCTCATCATTTGCTTATTTAATCTCAGGCAGTTTTGTACTGATATAATCTTGTATTGTATTGATAGTAAGAAAGTTTAATATTGAGAAGTTAAACTAGCAATTATCTTTATTTGGAAGATATTTTGTTTTTTGAAATATTACTTTATCTCTTTATTATTAAGGGTAACTTTCTCTGCCTTTAGATGTTTTGTGAAAATACTCATCAAAGATAAAAAAAAATTACTGAGATATTTATAAATTAATCCTCATTTAAAATTTTTTCAGGTCTCAGAAAGATTCCAGCAGCTAATGAAGCTCTTTGAAAAGTCAAAATGCAGGTAGTTAATGTTTATACTTCAGGAAATTAGTAAAGTAAATGTTTGACACTGAACCTGTGCAGTTAATGGTCTGTTAGTCATTGAAGATGTGAGTGGTGGGTGAGAGACATCCAGTTGCGTTCCTGCTTCAGTCACAGGTTGGAGGATGGTTGCCCATGCAGGCTCCTGAGGTCACTTCATCCGCAGGGACGTGCTCAGGGTGAAGCCTGCTGCAGTTCAGCTCAGCATGGCATCTCAGCCTTCTGATTGCTGATGAGTCTAAGGTGGGGGGAAATCCATTGGATGATTGATAATACATTTTTATAGATGAGGAGAAAGAACACATTCCTGAACAGCAGTATATTTCAAAGCCAATGAAGTCTGTGCAGTCATTGTAATTTAATATTTTTCACATTTTTAATTAGAAGTGCCAAGATACTTTAATATACAAAACATTCATTGATAAACATGAACTCCTTTGTCACCTGAATAGGTGACATGATTTACCATGTTAAAATATTAATAATGTTCACAGACATATTTCCTTAGTTTCTTTAAGACATTCTTTTTCGGGTTTGTTAAGACAATAATGCCAGGTTTTTTTCTGTTAAGAACTAAGCCAATTGCTTAAATATTTTGGACTTATACATAAAGAAAATTGTAAAGATATTTAACATATCACTATTTTTCAGTTGATTTATAGTCATAATTACTTGAATGCAGAGCACCCAATTTTAAATTAAACTAAATCGGAATAAAAACTAGTTGGACATTGATCTCAGTGTGGAGGGTTCTAAATATTTTTGAACTATAAAAATCTGTTTCTAACCTCCTCCCACAAAAAAAAAGTAAAAAAAGATCTATTTCCAAACCCAGTATAAGTTATGTCTTTAGATAATCTGTTAATTTTAGTGTCCTCTCAAAGCAACTGGTTTGTTAATGAGATCTTCAGAAGATACTTAGTGGTTTACCGTGAGATTAAAATTCTGTTTATATAATTCAGAATGTAAGATTGAATATTGGGGAATTTGAAGAAAAAGTTTATTCTAAAGAACCTTTAAGAAAATAGTTTAAAACAAAAATGGTGTGGTTATTTTTCAAATTCACTGTGCTTTAAAATTTCAGTGCTTTTAGGAAATTAAACAGCTTTTTTGTTTTATCTGAATGTTATCTTAAAATATGACTTCCACTCTCTTTTTGAAGATAATGTCCATTCATAAAAGAATTAACTTGGACCTGGAAGTGATGCTTATTAGTCTGAAATTTATAAATTCCATTATAAATCTACAATTTTTTAATGGATTTGATACTTGAGATTTTATTTGCTTGAATGGGAGCACAAATAGTAAGTTATTTCATTCCTAGTTTCTTAACTGACTTTTCCTGCAAGTACTATAGTCTCATTGAATTCTTACCAGAATCAAAATGTAATGATGAAGTTACCGTGCTGATTTTGTGGAAAGCTCGTTCTTTAACCACCAATAGTATTTCAGTAGAACTCATTTAAAAAAACACTTTATGAAATGGTCATATCAAAAAAAATAGAATCATAACTTTAGCATTTTCTTACATTACAGATAAGTTGCTGAATTCCTTGGAGTCTTAATTGACATTGCATACTACACAGAAGCTTGGAATTCCTCATATTTTTAATGGGGAAGTAGGGGGCAATTTTATGACATATTTGATTACCAGATAATAATCTGCGTTTGTTATTACTTGCTGACTCTTTAATCTCAAGCCAGCATGTTCAGCTTGTTCCTGACATCAGTCTGATTTGCTTCCCTGTTACTGGACATGATATTTATTTTTAAACAAGTTACAACTTGTTTTCAAGATAAAAGCAACAACAAAACAGTATTGAAACCTTAGTTTTGATATTTCAAAGAAAGACTTTTTTTTTCTAGATTTTTAAAGATAGTTTTGTAGCATTTAAACTTAACCATTATTTAGTTCGTTTCATCCATTTTTGCTTTTCTAATTGCCTCATTTTGATAAATTGTAAAATAATTTAAATAGTGTATCTGTATAAATATGTGTAAATTTAATGATGTAAAATATTTGTGTGTGTGTGTGTATGTTTGGGTGTATGCACACACATAAATGGCTGTGCCTAGCCAAGGATTTTTTTATCTGTATAAAACTTCTTGTATAAAGTTTGCTTTCATTACCAGTAATGTATAAATAAAACCCTGTAAAGTTCTGTTATATTTTGATAAGAATTTTTTTTTAGTGTGTTTAGATAATAATTAAAACAAAAAGTAAAACTCCCAGGGAACATGGGAGACTACTTTGAAGTGGTTCTTGGTGGTGGCGTGGCTGGCTGGCTGTGTTTGAGTAGATCATCAGAGAAAACCAGTTGCCTTTGCCTGCTTTCTCACAGCAGGTACTGGGTACGGTGAACAGTGCTGCAGGTACCCTCACAGACAAAATCAGGGCAGCACAGAAACTCCTTTTGGGTGAAGATTGGAGAAAACAGGTAAGGATTGACTAGCTATGCATTATTTATTCACCCCTCCCCCTCCAGACTGATGGTACTGGTAAGTTACTGTCTAGGCCTTGGACTCCAGGAGGTGCCTGAGGAAATTGCCATTTCTCCCATGGTGTGCAGTGTCTGAAGGAGAAGCCCTGATCTGAAGGATTGCTTGATAGATAACAAGCTGAAATAATGAACTGTGGTTTTTGTTGTGCTGGGGCTGTCTACCACAGGGCTTGTCCTCTTCCTTTTCTTTCAATACCCAACATAGCCTAGAGGGCTGGCCCCCAGCCCTTCCCCCGTGCATAGTATCACTCAGAACCCTTACCACCAGGTAAATGAGTTCACAAGCCAAAGTTCAAAAGAAAACAACAAGCTGAATTACATTAAGACGATAGGAATCTAAAAGTCAATAAACATTAAAAGGAAAAAAGAGAAGATTTTGGCTATATAATACAAGAATAAGAAATAACCAGGTAGAAATATCAAAAACAATATTTCAAGAAAAAAATAATAAAGTGGAATGAAAATAAAGTGGATACAGCTGAAAAATGAATTAGTGAGTTGAAAAGTCAGATTGAGAAACTCCCAGAAGGAAGCAAGAAGTTAAATGGAAAATATGAATGCAGATGTGAAATGAAGGACAGAAGTAGATGTGCCAACATTCGGTAACAAAAGAGGTCCAGAAGAAGAAAAAATTTAAAGTCTGAAACAACCATAGTGTGCCAAGCAGGAGAGAAAGAAGTACCCACATCCAGACACATACTACAATCAGGAGTATTAAAGATAATGAGAAAACTAAAAGCTTTTTGACAGTAAATCATTGTATAGAGGAACAAGAATCATGGTGACCTTACTCTTCTGAAGAACAATGCTGGCTGTAAGGAAACAGTATTTTTAAAGTACTGGACCTAAAATTTTATAACCATTTAAGTTGTTATTCAAATGTAGTCAAGAATGAGAGCTTGACAGCCTTCCAGAGAGCAGAGAGTCTCCCGCTTCACCCTATTCCTAGTCAAAATCCTTCCTCCTCCTTGGAGATAAACACTATTGCTGACATATTATCATCGGTTGCTTTTGTCTGTTTGGGGGCTTTCAAATCGAATCATACATCATATATATTCTTATTTGACTTCTTCATTGTACAAAAATAGAAGAGTAAAATGAATACCTATGTGTCCATCATCCAGCTTCAACGTTTAACATTCTGGCATTTTTTATTTCCGTTATCTCGCCTCCCACTTCTTTGTTTTGCTGAGGTATTTTAAAGCAAATCCTGTGTAATTTTACGTGTAAATACTTCTGTATATACCTGTAATATATAAGAATTCTTTAAACTCAAAAATATTGAAGTATAACATGAATAATGAATAAAAATTCAAAAATTTCACAAGCTGAATACATTTGTGTAACTACCACTAATGTCAAGAAATAGAATTGTGCTGCCCCATAACGTTACTCCGCCTCTCATCCCCCTTCCAGAACCTATCTCCTTCTCACAGGGAATCATTCTAATTTTTTTTTAACTTTTTTTTTTTTCTTTGTGGTTGGAGGTAATTAGGTTTATTTGTTTGTTTTTTGAGTGGCAGTACTGGGAATATCCTGATTTATGTAATTATAGATTAACTTAGCCTGATGATGGCCTTTTTGTAAATAGAATCACATACTACATTTTGCTTTTTTGTATATGGCTTCTGTCAACCAACCTTCACCATTGTGACTTCATTTCTACTTAGGGGTATAGCAGTAATTTGTACTTTCTCATTGCTATGAAGTACTCCATTGTATTCGTGTACACTTTATTACACTGTTGATAGGTATTTAGGTTGTTTTCGTTTGAGGTTATTCAAATGTTGCTACTTTAAACATTCTTGTACATGTCTTTTGCTGCACATATGGACACATTTTTCTTGGATATGTACCTAGTAGTGGTATACATATGTGAAGCTTTAGTAAATACTGCCAAGCAGTTTTACTAAATGCTGTTATTAATGTACACTATCCAGCAATATGTGAGAGTTTCAGTTTCTTCACATGCTGACAATATTGTCAGTCCTTAATCTTAGCCATTCTAGTGGAGGTGAAGTGATATCTCCTGGATATTTGTTGGCCATTTGTATACATCCTTTTTTTGTAAAGTCCCTGTTTAAGTCTCTGACCTATTTTTCTTATGAAGCTGTAGAGATTGTTTATATAATCTGGATGTGAGCCCTTTGTTAGTTCTTCTATATTTGGAAATAGCTTCTCTTACTTTGGGGTTTGCCTTTCACTCTGTCAAGTGTATCTTTTGATGAACACACATTCTTAATTTTAATGAAGATTTAATTTATCACTTTCCATTTACCTGTCAAAGATACCTTTCCCAAAACTCCAAGATGATGACACTATGTTTTTACATTATTGTCTGAAAGTTTTATTGTTTTACCTCACACATTTACACCTACAATTCACTAAGAATTGATAGAGTGTGAGGTGGGGGTAATTTTAATTTCAATTTAAAAAAGAATCCCATTGACCAAGTTTCATTGTAAAGATTGTCCTTGCCCCACTGTTCTTCAGTGCCACCTTGGCAACAAACCAGGTGCCCATATGGTTTTTTTTTTTTTTTTGAATCTCTATTCTGTTTCTGGTTCTGTTTGTCTAATCTTGCATCCACAGGATTGCTCTCTTAACTACCATAGCTTTATAGTAAGTCTTGATATCTGATAGAGAAGTCCCATCACCTTGTTTTCTTTTTTCACCACTGTTCATGGCTAGGTTTGGCCCTTTGAGTTCAACGAACCTTTTAGAATCAGCTTATCAAGCTCCCCGGAAAGCCTATTGGGATTTTTGATTGACTTGTATTGAATCCATGGATCAATTAATTTGGGGAGAATTGGACACACTGGTGTTTTTTATATTCTGCAAATGTGAGTGGTACTATAATGGATCACTTTGTACACATTATTTCATACATGTGTCCTTCATGCTCCTTAGAACTACCTTTTAAAAAGCATCCAGAATGTAAATGGTGATAGAATTCAAAGATGAATATCATTAAAGACTTTAAAATCCTTGCTAGCAAGATTTTAAGTGGTAATTTATAAAATAATTGACTCTATCTTCTGAGAAGTGCTCTACTAATGAAGCCAACTGTATTTTTTTGATTCACATGGGCCTAAAGTTTAAAAGATCTCTCAGGATTCTTCATTTGTCAAATTCACTTCCTCACTGAAATAAAGTGTATGGGATATGAAAGTATAAAACCCTTCTGTTAAGAAGGACAAATATTAATGGGTCACCCATTAAACCTTAACCTGTAATTGCTACTTTAAATGTTCTCCTGATGTATCTTTGGGAGATTCACAATCTTTAAACTTTCTTTTCTTTATTTGTAAGTGGAGGGATTATTCTAAAACAAGATTACCAACTGGGTTTCTCAGTCAAGTGATTGGTTTGGGGGAAGTAGGAAAGTGCAGAAGGTCAAGTCTTGGGCCCACCACCTTGGCTAGCTTCAACCAGGGTGACTATTTTTACCTGTTTTATAAATTGGAATTCCTAACATGATTGCTTGACTTAATAAGATTCTGCTGCTAAAATTTTTGGAAGATTACTGTCTTGATTTTTTATTTTGCAGTTCTCTTTTTCTATAATTGGTATGATTAGTTTTTGGCATGGTTACACCTTTATCTGAGGAGTGCCAAATTCTCTGCGAGGAATCTGGTAGGTTAACTCAGTTCCTATAATTCCTCACACTTTCTTCTGGGAATCCCTTATTTTCTCATTGTAAATCTGTCTGAATCTCATTAGCAGAGGAAAGACTTAAGACAAATGAGCCTTCTGCTCAGAAGAAGGCTCAGAAGGTATACCTTTGAGTACACCAATTTTCTTTTCATTTAGGATTATGTCAGCTTTCATAATCCTAAACGTTTCTAGCAGCTGTGTGGAAACCAGCAACTGCTGCCCATAGGGAGTTACTATCACCAGCTGTGAAGAGGTGTCATGGTCAATGCTGGTACCATTGACTAGCACTATGTCAGTGACTAGTGCGTCTTTATCCTGGCACATTTCTTCTGACTAGCTTTTCTGTTCCCTTCTGTTTCTCTTGAGTGTGTTTTGAGCCTGCCGGTGACTTCATAGATTGAGCATAACTTTTGATGAGAGTGAAAATAGAAACTTAAAAAATCTTTGGCAGGGGTTCTCAACTTTAAGTGTGCTAATTTTTGCTGAGCCTTTGGGCTGGTTGGGATGAGACAGTGGGTAGAGATCCTCCTCTTTCCCAGCAGTAGTGCAGTGCCAATATTACCTCATCAGAACAAATTATTACTGTGATGTTACGGAAGAGTTGCCCACTCTGTGCCTCTGTCTTAAAGATAATTCACCTACTTGCTAAGTCTTGAAGAATGAGGTGATCAGGTTGATTCATCTGCTGAAGACTTTAAAAAAAATCAGACATAGAGTTGTGTTTATCTTTATTTTCTAGTTTAAACATTTATTTTCTTGAGTAGATAATACAGTCACTGTTAAGGGAATTCAAGATAAAAGTTACCATCTCACCCCTTCGGCAGTCACCTCTTACCTTTGCTTGAGGCAACTAATATTAGAACTTATTTTACATACCCTTTTGAATTATTCCATGCATAAATATATGATTTTAATGTTTGACTCTAGTGGAATGCATTAAAGGTATTAAATTCATTACTTTGCAGGTGAATTTTAGAATTAAATGTCAAGGGTTTTCTTAACAATGTACCCAGTACTATACAAACATGCATTTTTTGTGTGTGTGTGATGATTTTTTTTTTTAGGTTTTTTTAAAAAATTGAAGTGTGGTAAGTTACAATGTGTCAGTTACGATGTGTCAGTTTCTGGTGCACAGCACAATGTCTCATACATATACATACGTATATTCATTTTCATATTTTTTTCATCATAGGTTACTACAAGATATTGAATACAGTTCCACAGTTCCCTGTGCTGTACAGAAGAAATTTGTTTTTTATCTGTTTTTATATATAGTATTT